GAAATTGGAGGCTTACTTCTTTTCCTTTTGAGCAGTGATGTTCGAGCAAAATCATTCGAAGCTGTTGAGCAGTTTTTGCAAATTGTAAAGCAATATCATGAGAAGGTATGTACCTTGAGTCTTGCTACCTATATAGGTTGTATTCTGTTTCAATAATTAATTCTCAAATGGTATGGAATTTCAATGAGCGCACATGTGCTTAATAGAATGGAAGCTTGTGTTGTACTTACATTAAGGATGAAGGGAACCTAGCGATATCTGGATATGAACTTGGTGATGCCTAGATATCTGATATGCTCCCATGTTATGTTGCCTTCTCTTTTCATTATTTATAGACAAGTTCAGGAGATGATGATACAAACATCGGAATGTCATCTATGCCAGGAAACGCTGGTTTGCTCGGGTCAGTTGATTTCTTAGTATCGTTTCTATATGGAGATTGTTAAATTGATTTTCGTGGATGTGGTTGGTGTATCTGCTTTTAATGCTTGTATGTTACTGAGTTTATCTGTTTCACTCATCCATTGAAGAAGAGCAAAAGTCTTGTGCAACAGCAACATTATTGTAGTTTGCAAAGTCTGTTACTTTTGTGCTAAGAAGATGCTTGCTGTTTGTTAGATCGGAAAAGCAAAGAGAAACATCTTTGTATATTATGTCATGCCGCTGATATTATTCTGTGTTCAAATCCCGTCTTCTCTATTAGTCTTTTGATAAATGCATGACTTTGAGAGGCTATTGGATGTTGAAATCAATTGTTAGAGATTGAGTTTTTCTTTGTTGAGTTCAACATATACTTTAAGCAATGACTGGAATCTCTGTATTTTTCTATTCAATAACGAAAATCTCCGAATAATCTTGACAAAATAAAATCTGCTGTATTCTGATGTGTAATATAATTCTTGAGAAATTTCAGGTATCTTCCCATTAACTTATATAGTACCATGATCTTGAAAATTTGCTTTCTATTTATTTTTGTAGATGGGCTATGAGTTCTTTGACTATAAAAGGCAAGCCTTCTGAACAAGCAGCTCCTCTTGTGCCAGCTTCAGCGGCTCCACTGGCTTCTGCTGCCTCTAACGCCAGCTCCTGTAAGTACCTTGAATTCTTTTTGTCTTCTGAGTTTTATAGTTATGCAATAATACACAAATTAGTTGGTGCACTGGTCTAGAGTGCGTTCGTAGTTCATTTCAGACGCATTCTGTTACTCTTGTGCCAATCTATACAATGAGAAAACTGGATATGTGTTTTATATCTCTTGGTAGTTGACCCAATGTCCATTGAGATGCAGTGAAGCCTAGTATAAGACAATGCCTTAGATATGCTAAGCTTCATCATTTGGCCTGCACCGATAAGTTCTTATCTCAATTCGATAGGTGATGTTATAGAGTTAGAAATCCAAACAAAGGTGGGGTAAAGAGTTTCGCTTGACCAAAAAGTCTGAAGAGGAACAGAACTTTGCTTGACCGAACTTAGTTTCTTTTCCTTTTGTGTTGTGGCATTGTGTCACAAACAGTGACTGATATTGAAATCTCTGTCAATCTTTAGTGATGGATACACAAAGTACAGCATCCGGTCATGCAATGTCTAGTATGGATTTTGCTGATCAACCAGAGCCTGAATCTCCCACTTCAACTGACGGTGATGGTTGGGGTGAAATCGCAAATGGAATCAGCGAAGATCATAACGGTGATAAGGATGGTTGGGATGAACTCGAACCACTAGAAGAGCCAAAGCCATCCCCGGCTCTTGCAAGTATTCAAGCTGCTCAGCAACGGCCTGTTGCTCAACCGATGTCGCAGGCAAAACAGCCAGGTAATGTCTTTCATGTGCAGTGATGAAGCCTCAAGCCCACAAGTGTCACTGTTCCATCAGTTCTGAAATCCAACATCCAAACGAACCCCCTAGATGACAAACATGCAAAACTTTCTGCTTGATGTTTTGTCATGTATGTCAATATGTTTTCTCAAATTACCTTGAAATTTCTGTCAAATCTAACTGCTCTTCTCCACTGTATCTCTTCTCAGCCACAAGTTCGAGACCAAAAACAACGGTGAAGCCACCAAGAGTTGAAGATGATGATTTGTGGGGTTCAATAGCTGCCCCTGCTCCAAAAACAGGATCCAAACCGTTGAATGCTAAACCAAGTGCTTCATTTGACAACGATGATCCATGGGCAGCGATCGCTGCTCCTGCTCCCACCACACGGGCGAAGCCATTGTCGCTTGGGAGAGGACGAGGTACCAAAACTACTGCACCGAAACTAGGTGCGCAGAGGATAAACCGGACAGGGTCTTCTGGTGGTATATAATTTAGAAACGCAGCAAGCGGGAGAACGTATAGAAGAGTGATCGCCCCATATTTGAACTGTAGTCCTGTACATCATTTTTGGTCTCGGCCTGGTGACTGGTCATGTTAAAATTACACAAAAGCTGGTCGCCGATGACTTTGTATCTGTTTCTTCGACAGTTGATTTGTAACATCATTATTTTCTCTTCCCTACAATCCTGGTGGTGTCGCTTGAGTTGTATCTAAGAGATAGTATACAGGAAAGTTTAATGCTGCTGTGGCCAACTGCCACAGTCGAAACGGGGAAGTATTTTTGTCAGTAGAACTAGATCAACAGTTTGGTCGGCATGTGTCCATTAAGGTACTTCTTGTAAAACTAATGGGTCGTTTGGAAGTTGCGATTGTTTTGTTGATATTGTCATTATACGTGTATTGTTTACAATGCATCGTTTTTTTTGTTTTTTTAGCAGAATGGATTGTTTCTGTGATGTGACAGAAATTATCACTCATTTTAAGTGATTGTTATATCTCAACTTTTAGTTGTGGTTGTTGAGATAGTTGAGTTGAGATTGTTTTGTCTCAGCTTTTAGCTGATGCGATATACAATCACACATATCAAACGTTGTATTCTACAATGCATCAAATTCGACAATATATGTATAATATTATACATGCATTTTCAACAATACATCTATTTAACAATCGCAACTTCCAAATGACCTCTAAGATATGTTTTTCATGTGCTCGTAAGAAAGTTTGATTAGTTGAATCTTAAATCCTTTTTCTGAGTGTTGTAGGCTCTGCTCCTTGCTTTTCTCCACCCTTTGGCACCGCAAAGCACTATGTTTTAGAGATTTTTTGCTGTTTGTTTCGTTTTTTATTCGAAGTTTTACTTTGATAACTAAAATAGTGAAATACGATATCATTAGATCCTCAAAAAAAAAAAAAAAAAAATTCTCATAATAAACTCTTGTGCCAACGGACATGTACTTAAGTGTTACCATCAGAGTAGCGTAATTTGGTGGTAGGATCTTCAAGTCTTAACGATGATATTCGAATTTTTTTTTAACGAAAAAAGATCGCTTGTATTACCAAGAATAACAAAGTTACAATAACTTGACCTCCGAGCACAACCATGTCCGGAAATCAAAACCATTCCCCCTGTAGGAAACAAATTCAGGGCTTTTTTGGCCACCACAGGGACCACCATATTGTTCTGACTACCTACAAACTGCACACTAAAATCCAAGTGATCATCGAGGAGTATGCCGGGAACGCGGATACAGGTGGTGCATGGCTGTTGTCTGGGAATATAGGAAGCTAGGGAGCTAGGTGAATACCCCGATGAGACCCCTTCTTTTAAACGTAGGCTCCTCGGCCGGCTCTTTCAAGGGCCACATAGATCCGTTGAGTCAAGCCCCTCATGAATGGGAGGGCGGGGAAGAAAGCTCTTTCTGGACTTTAGGAGGTTGAGGGTAACCCTTTTAAAAGGAACCAGAGGCGTGTTGGGATGTCGGAGCTACGGAATGGACCAGAACTATGTTTTAGGAAAAGTCCATTATAGTGCAGATTTTTTGCACGAACAGGCATGGCTAACCGCCCTGGTGTCGGGGGCTTGCATCATTTTCCTTTGCTTTAAAAGACGCTCGAACTATATTCGGTTAGTTGGTTAATAGTTGCATTGTTAAACTAACCGGTAACGATTCTTGCAGTGCAGTTATCGGTAGGCTGAAATGACTCTTCTGATGTAGCCGAATAGTCGATTAACGGTTAACCGACAACTAATTAAATAAAAATATCTATATTTCTCTTCTCCAAAATTACCACGGCCCTCCCAAATAAACTCTCTAACTTCGGAAAAACAAACTCCTCCGTGTCATGACCCTCTTCTTATTTTCCTAGTTTCCTCCGAGTGTGAGTCCTAAAATTGAAACAGGCAAAAACAAGTCAGTTATGTGGCTAGTTATTTCTCACTTCATATAATTACATGTCGTGGGAGGTTAGTCACTCGAAAAAGTTAATCTCCTATGCTAACTGATATCTACCATAAATTAACTATTATCCCAAATTCACAAACTAATATCTAGACAACACAGAATAGTATTCATACAACACACAATTAGTATCCAGATTACACATAAGAGTATCCATATTGAATACTAGTTGGTTTGATTGTGGATATTAGTTGGTACCTGCTATCTGGATACTAGTTTGTAATGTTTTGAATACTAGTCTGTGCTATCTAAATATTTTAGTAGAATCAGCAGACTTGAATACTAGTTCATACATTTTGGATATTTATTAGTATATACTAACAACTTATACAGTTAGCAGAATAACTAGGCGGTCGATAGTCATTGCCTTCCGCAATAGATAAAAGTGAACCAAGAGGGGTAAAAATACTCAGAATAATCTATTTACTTATTCTCCCAATGAAATTAGCCTTTACATTTCAAGCTCCATTTGCTTAATTCCTTCCATTCAAGCAAAAAAAAAAAAAAAGTGTTTCTAAATCAAAATCATAAAACCTAGTTACCCCCTTACTACAAATAATAAACAATCTGAATTTACATACAACTTTTCAGTAAAATTAATCCAAAAGACCTCCCACCTGCTACACCAGCTATCATCGTGATGTAAATTGTGAATCATGGTCTAATAATGGGAGTTAATGATTGTCTTAATTAGTTAATCCATGTTATATTTTTACCTATTTACTCCCTTTTGTTTTCCTCCAAATCTTCACCAAGTCGAAACACGTAGTACTCTGATGCAGCTGGTGGCGGTGGTAATGCAGTTGATAGCTTCCTCTCCTTTCTGATCTCCAACATTGACGTGCTTGCTACATCTCCGCCCCCTAATTTAACTCCACCTCCAGCTACAAATGGAATCACTGTCTCCTGATCTTCGATATCATCTCCCATCTCCTCTGAATACGAGTATCTGCAAACAAAAAAGTGCATGTCACGTGGAGCTTCTTCGACTCATTCTAAGTTAGAAGTTACGTTTTGGAGAAGTGGAGAAGGAATATTTTGGGAGAGTGAAAAAAGTAAGGTGAACGCTGGTTTAGAAGAATGATGAGAGAAATTTTGGGTGAAAATTTATGAATAACGAATTTGCATATGCACTTTTCATCCTCATGTATAATAGAGCAAAACTTCTTGAAATTTCCATTTTTACTGACAATGTTCACCCCATCATTTTGCACTCTTTCATGGACATATGGTAAGCATATATCTAAGACAAGAAGAACATGATACCTTGTTGGATTGGGGGAAGGTGCCCAAAGAACACATACAACAATCAAAAGCATATAGGAGAGCAAGGACCAAAAGGCTGGGATGATCCATGCTCTTCTCCACAACTCTCCCAATGGATCAGTGGCATTAAAGTACAACTGAAACAAATGGAGCAAAACCCAAATTTTAATTGAAGATGTGGAGGAAAGAAAAAAATTTAGTTCATTTTTGTAATAGGATAATTAGTATCAACAACCTCATAACCAATCCAAGCAATGGACACTAGCACTGATGCAGCAAGAAAATTGGTGAACTTCTGGTACAAAGCAAACTTTACTCCACTTCTTCTCACCTGTCCCCATAGAACGGTTATAAGTTTCTTACATCAAGTGCCCATCATTCCATATTATAAATCTTCAACATTTAGTAGAAATCTCCAATGTAGATTTGGGATTTACAAGTTATTAGAACGTTTACTTAACCACAGAAGAAGCTATAGATTTACCTGAAGTTTCTCTAGGGTTTGTGACAATGCTGAGAAGATCCATATAGTGAAGTAGGCATCTAGGACAGCAACCGGCAACACAAGAACAAGTCTGGCTTTTCCATAGAAGTCGTTGATATTCCTCAGATTCTCAAACAACCCAAGTGCTTCAGATGCCATAAGATAGCCCACACCGAGGAGACGCACCTTCAACGTCAAAGCACCAAGTGTTGGCTTCACAACACCATAACCCATCGACACCACCAGTAGAAGAAGACGAGAAACGGTTTTCTTAACAACACTGAAAGTCACTGCCCAAAAAGTTATGAGAGCAGGTCGACTCCCATTTGAGTTGAAGTTTGCATACTCAAAGTACCACAAAGCCATCTCGCACATACCCAAACCAATAACGGCCGTAATGTGAAAGTGCAGTTGAATGACATCTTTCCAGTATCGTGTGAACCAGAGAAACCAGACGAGCCCGAGTCCGAGGTAGGCTAGAGACATGAAACCGGAGAACGGCATCAAAGGACCCATCTTTCCAGGGAGATAGCCATCCGGGTTCCTCCAAACTGTCCTTCCGCTTATCGTCGTTCCAAGTAGCTCTGGATCGCAGAACATGAAGTAGAGATAGTACATTCCATCGCGGGTTATCTCCACCGTCTGGAGAACCATCTCAGCGACTTCATTTTTCCCTTCGAAGAACGTTTGAAGTCTCTTTGGCCCGTCTTGGGAACTATTTGCTGGATCGTCGTGAATGATTACTTCTCCTACTTTGCAAGAACCGTTGTTGGCGAGTTCTGGAGTGCAACATATAGCTGTGGAGTTCAGATAAGATCCACCAATCTTGTCCCTGTCTTTGACCTGAACTATTAGTGCTTCCAACAATCCTGTTTTTTGTTGCATTTCGTTCTTCCTTTCTGCCGACTCCTTTGGTCTTTTGAAAATTACTGACTCAAACCTGCTCAACTCAACAATAATTATCTATCTTTGTTTGTGTTCCATGATGAATGAGTCTAAAAAGATTTTCGGAATTTTCAAATTATTATGTCGAGATCAAGTATTTACCACGAATTCCACAATACATTTGTTCGAGATTTATATACGAAAAAAGTATTAAAAAAAATACCACCTTTTGCATACGAAAAAAAATCATGATCTATGGAAAAAAGTAACAACCTTTGTGTGCTTTGTGTAACGTAGAAACAGTAGAGGAAATTTAGAGAGAAACTTTGAAGGGATGGATCATTTCAACGGTTTTAATGATGGTTCATGAATTGCGATTTAGAGAAAGATCAATCTGCATAACTTTTGCAGGAAACAAATGTATGATATATATATATATACACTCCGAACGTTACCTGATGAATGATTTTCCCTTGACGGGCTTGCCTTCTTGGATATGATCATGATTTCTGGATGCATAAAGGCCTTCACTTCCGCCATGAAAGAAGTAAGAATTGGAACGACGAACAAAAACACCATCCTCGTATTCATGGATTGAGGCACCCACCCTTGTATCACAGAAGCAACACAAACACAATGCCAGAGCCAGAGAGTATGAGAATTTTGAATTCGAACGCCAAGATTTCACCATGTTTCTCGATTCGGATCCCTACTCCGTCTCTTTTATGTCATGTGTGTCAGTAAGAGACATTTCAGATTGAGAGAGAACAAATTTTTCTAAAACATTCACCCTTCATAAGAAAGAAACATATTCTGCCTGATGCAAGGCCAATAAATTGTCCTATATATAATCGTTACTTTCGTGGTTATCCACAGCTGGTCATTTGTGTAATTTATTACTGAATAGTACATATGACCATTACCCCATAACAAGGAAAAAATATTAAACGAGTCACTGCTTCTAATAAAGTTATAAGGATGACTAGAATTTTCCCTTTAGATGAATGGGGAAGATATAAGAAAGTTCTATTGCACTCAATTCACATACAGAGGAGGAGCTAGGATTTGGAACTCGGGATGACTTTTTATTATGCGTACTGTGAATAATTATTTTTTAAATATAATATATGAAGGAGAAAAATATTTAATTTTCATACAACAAATATTTTAGATAATTAAAAGATTTAAGTATAGACTATATATTAAACTAAAAGTTTTTTCCACTACATGTTCAAAATAAAATAGTAAATGACCAGCAAAAAATGAATCATTCTTTTTCAACTTGTACCACGTTATTCGTTGTTATTATAACTGAAAACTAAATGTATATCCATATTAGCATTTGCATAAAAATATTGGTTATATATTCAAATTTATTCTTAACAATGTGAATTTATAAGAAATTAAAGTTATCTAGTTTGAATTTTTAAGTTAGATGATCTAGAAAGATGAAGTATGAAAGTTAAGTATTTAGGTTAATTTTTAAGCAAAAAAATATTCTTAAAATGTGAATTTATAAAATCTGCGAATTTAACTTATCTAGTTTGAACTTTGAAATTAGAGGATCAAAGAAGATAAGTATGAAAGTTAAGTGATTAGCTTAAATGTTACAACAAAATTAAACTTGTTGGGGGGTGTTACTAAGATACTCCGCGCACAGACTAAGTAATAGCGCTTCCAATCGATAACGTGTGCCGCTCGAAACCCGCTACCAATATATAAAGGTATGAAACCCTCCAAGGGAGGGGGACTTCTTCTCTCCCCTCACTATTCTACTTTCCACTATCTCTCTACACTTTATCTCTCTACCTTATTCTCTCAACTCTCTCATGAAACTTAAACTAACTTGATCATCGGAGCTTAATCCGGGGGGGGGGGGGGGGGGGGGGGGGGGGGGGGGGGGGGGGGGGGCAGCCCCGGCTCTTTCACAGGTTTCTTCCCTCCCAACGAGATCAGAAGAACGGATCGTGAGTCAACCCCACACCAACAAATATCATTGTTCATACCACAAGCTAGACGGTACAAACAAAACTAAAGTGAGAAAGAAAATATAAAATTGGTCTTGTTGGGGATTGAACCGATATACCACATCAAAGGCTCAAAGCCACTAAGTTGTTGGGCTACAAGCCACAACAATGGAGCTAATTTATTGCATGTTTTGTTATTATATCACTTATAATTTTTACATAATTTTCAAAAAATTCGATACATTTACATGTGATCTTCGAATTCTTGGGAGGCCTGGACCCCCGAGTCTCAAGCTAGCTACGACACTGTTCACATAATTGGAATTAGGAGATCCATTCCGAGTACCACTTTCTCTTGAGTAAACTTTGAGTAGTTAGTTTCTTGTATGTTAGAATTAAGGGCAAATACAGTATATTAGCCATAACTTTTAAGCAACGGGGAATTATAGCTACAATTATCGAAATACAAATTATTAGTCAATCGTTAAGTTTTCGTTAACACTTCTGTTAGTAATGATGACTAAGCTTTTACGATGCTGAGCTGGCTCCCACGTGACAGTCATCATATCATATTTTTTACGATGCTGACATGGCCTTCTACGTTAAAAATTTGAAAACAGTAACGGGTTGTTAGCCAAATCTTTGTCATGAACCAGTTGGTCCCAATAACTCGAGTTGTTGGGAGAGGTTCAATCGTGGATCATATACCATAACACTAACACGCCCTCTCAAACGAAAGCCACTCACAAGGGCTTGAAGTTTGCATAGGTTTGAAGACAAGAATACCACATGCTTAACAAATCGGGGTCACCGGGAATCGAACATAAGACCTCTCGGTCACAGAAGGCTCTGATACCATGTCATGAACCAGTTGGTCCCAATAACTCGAGTTGTTGGGAAAGGTTCAATCGTGGATCATATACCACAACACTAACATGCCCACTCAAACGAAAGCCACTCACAAGGGCTTGAAGTTTGCACATGTTTGAAGACAAGAATATCATGTGCTTAACAAATGGGGGTCACCGGGAATCGAACACAAGACCTCTCGGTCACAGAAGGCTCTGATACCATGTCATGAACCAGTTGACATATTGTATTAATTTGTATTTCGATAGTTGTGGCTATAATTATCCGCTACTTAATAGTTATGACTAATATATTGTATTTACCCTAGAATTAATCAACTAACAACTATTTGGCAAAATAACAACGAGTCTCAAAAGTAGTAACCGCCTCCAAGCCCTTTGGAAAACGACCTTGAGGTATCCACTATTCTACTTAATTAGCTCAATCACATAATTTTATTCTCTCTCAATTCAACTTTGTACTCAACTTTCATCAACTATAGAAGGTCGAGGCCTTCCTTAATCACACGTGAATTTTTGCAAGAGGAGAGTAGAGAAAGGAAGGCTAGATGATCAGCTTGGATCTATGTATTCTTCATTTCATCCTCTAATTTTATTGATTTCCATTCCTCACCATGTGATATGAAACCATCCAACATAAAAGTTATAAGTAACCAAGTTTTTTCGACAAATTTTATGAAAAACATTTAGGGCATAATTCAGGGATCCACACTTGATGAAAATGTCTACCAGTGTGTTCTCTATATTTTTTATCAATTAGAATTCCTCGCATTATGAGGCAACCATGCAGAGTATTTCATATCTGCAGGCTACAAGCCTGCAACTGATGAACAACAAGAAGGACATTAGTTAGTGAGAGGAATCGGGATCTAACAAAAGTATGTATTTTTCAATACTTAGAGAGAGTCTATCTGTTACTTGATCGAAGTTCTCGGACATCAGGATGACAACAGTATTGTCCTGGAAAAGAAATGGAATGTCAACCCAGTGGCGGGGCAGGATTTAAGCTAACTCTGTCCTCTTTTTAGAATATAAACATATGAATAATTAATAAATATAATTAAAATTAATAATATCCAAATAATTCGTTCATAAATAAAGAAATAACTGATTTGTTTGCATAAATCATCACAACGAGTTTCGTATTATGAAAAAACTGCAAAATATATCCATTTTCTACGCTCTTAAGAAAGTCTCTTTCAATATATCCCACTAATTTTTTTTTCCGTTGAATATCCCTCTAAACAATTATTAGCAAATCGATCACTAATTTGATTTCGAACCTTGTTATTAATATAGTTCAAACTAAGAATGCTCTTTCTACACTTATAGTTGCAACCAGTAGGATCAAAACTACCTTCAGAAGCAAATAAACTAACAGAATTGGCACATACACTTTTGTCTCCACCATTACTCGAGATAATTCATCATGCACAAACTATTGTCGAATAATAATGTTATGAATGAAACCAATAAATTTATTGGTTTTAATTAGTTTTTGTCAATTAATGAACAACAAGTAATGAGTTGTAGTATAGTGGTAAAATATTCTTATGTTTGATATTTTTTTTTCTTCTCCAAAACTTACCCCTTAACCCCTATCCTGGGACAAGAGCAAAGGGGGTGGGCTCCGCCTGTGTGTCAACCTATACTACACTTGAATCAAGAAACTGACGATAGGGTATCTTGAGAACACTACTCTTATATATCACATAAGGGAATAGGTTAGGGTGGTTACTCAATTTTGAGTAATCACGGTGGCTACCAACATCTATACCATTCATTATCTTTATTTTATTATAATTTTAAATTAATGATTAAGATTAGCTAAGGGTAATTTAGGAAATGAAAAACATACCACACCTGATTACTGTATATATTTTACTCAAACCCTAATACCTAGCCGTCGTCTCCTCCCTCCTCTCCCTGTCGATCCCACTCTCGATCAACCTCCGCCTCGTCGGCTCTGCCTTCCTGGCCGACTCCGAGGCCATCCTCTCTCTTCCTTTTTCTCCTCCACCCACACCTCCGACCACTTCCACGTTATAACCCCTGATCCCGTCCCACCTCACAGCGGCTCCCACCGCCTTGCCTCGACGTCTCGCACTCCCCGCCTTCCCTCGCTTCCCGACTCTCCGACGCCATCAAATCCGGCTGCCAATCCTTCCGTAGTATGTACTTCCCGCTTTGGACCCAATTCTTCTCTCCCGGCCAATGGATCCCCAACCCAATTCTTCACCTCTGCTCTGCTCTGCTCGGTCTATATATATGCATCGTCCCACCTCATATATATGTGGCTCCCACCGCATCGTCTCTGCTCGGGCAACTTTTGCTTAATCACTACCAATGCGCCTCGCCTCGCCTCCAAGGATTGTTTGGTTAACGCCAAGGTGATTTCAATTTTCCCGGCTGCCAATCCTTCCGTAGTGATTTTTTTTAAATGGTAGTCATTTTTTCTCGTAGTGGTAGTGTTATGGTCGTATTGGTATTGTTTTTGTTGCATTGGTATTATTTTTGTCGCATTGGTATTGATTTTGTTGCATTGGTAGTGATTAAATCTGCAATGGTATTGATGTTTTCTGAAATGGTAGTGTTTTTATTTCTTGAATGGTATTTATGTTTTGTACAATGGTAGTATTTTTTTAATGGATTGGTATTGATTTATTGTTTTGTTGTTGCAGCAACGAAATCAAGGAAAGATTGAGAAAAAGAAGGAAGAGAGATCTGGCTGAAAATTTGTGGAAGTGAGAGAGAGAGAGAAAAATTGTATTTAATATATTTATGTAATTTCCTAAAATGTAATTTATTAAAAAAAGATCATTAATAAATTTTTTGTTATACCCAATTTGCCCTTA